AAAATAGAGTGTTGGCAAACGTAAATAGCCAAAGCAGATTCACGATCCAAAAAGCATTACTGGATCTAGAAAACAATATTTGTGAAATTTACATTAAATTCTAAGGTCGTTACTCATAGTTGCCAATTATTCAGTGTTTTTGATTGAAAATACAATTCATTATGCATTCGTATTGATGGACCGTTATTCGGCTGTTTGGATTAACGTTTGTTGTATGTAATAATATATCAAGTACAGATATATGTAGAGATTAACAAATAATTGGAGATTCATAAAGCTACAACTATTTGTCAAATGACAGATATGAGTGTCGGCCTAAATTTTGACTCGGTATTTCTTTATTCTCAGTAAATTCGTCAAACGTCTGTTAAGGACGGAAACCTCTTGCACCATAAACGATTTGACATATCTTGAGATATCTGATGTATCGCTACACACGTGCCGATGTCTTGCATGCGCGCAAATGTAAATGTTATGCTCGGCTACGGAAAAAAGAGGCGCCAAAACAATCGGCAAAAAGAGTTAACTTACTTCCTCCCCCACCCGGCGACCACCGCCGCTCGCCATTGTGTACGTCGAGTGATCATACAAACCTTCCTTTCAAAACCGGACCTTCATGGCGGTCAGATGTTTCCATTCAGTTTCGAGCCGGCGAGCGACACTACGCGTGTCAACGCGTTGTTTCTCTCGGATGATTGATATCATATTGGACTTTCTATACTGTTTGATGAGAGATTCTCGCGTCGCGGTATTTAGCACGTGTCTCATTGATCGAATCGTAGTTACGCGAGTGCCAGTGTCAATACGACGACGCAGCAGCTTCGGCTCCAGCCTGGCTTCCCGATCTAGCATCCTGACTGCTCAACCATCATGATAGGAGCACTGGAATTGACACTCGCGTAACTACGATTCGGTCAAAGAGACACGCGCTAAATGACACGACGCGAGAGTCTCTCATCAAACAGTTTAGAAAGTCCAATACGACATCAATCACCTGAGAAAAACAGCAGGTAACGCGTCGACACGCGTGGTGCACGTGTCGCTTGCCGGTGCGGAGCTGAATGGAAACACCCGGAAAAGTCCGCGAGGCACAAAGGCAAATTTGACCGCCATGAAGGTCCGGAATGTTTTGTTTGGGTGATCACTCGGCGTACACAATGGTGAGCGGCGGTGGTCGCCGAGTGGGGGAGGGGGGGGG